ATTCTCACGCCAGTCAAAGTCAATGGTAACTCCACATTCCGTGACGTTGACCAGCCCGGCATACTGATGCATGTAAGGCTTTTTCCAGCCTCCGAAAGGAACAAAACCAGTGAAATTCTGGAAAGCATCTGTGGCTTCTAAAGCCTTTTCCAAGGAAATTACAATCCTTACTTGGTGTTTATTGTAACTGGGCCACCAAAGTGGTTTGCTGGCCCACTTGTTCCATTCAATACCAACAATTTTTCTCCAATGATAATTGTTGGTGTAGATACCCCACTTGATACCCGTTTCCTGCCGCACAAATGATTTCATAAATTTGTCTAAAACGAAGAAGGAAGCGAATGTTTTAACACACATTTAAAAAATTTCCCATGGCGTCAATAAAGTTTCTGTTATACGTGACATTATCTGGCCACATGAAGACTTCAATATCTAACCAAATGGTGCCGACTTCGACACCTTCGTGCTTTAGATGATAGAGCGCATCCTTAACCTGCAATCAGATTTGGCAAGAGTAATGTTAGAAGAAGTTGTGTTTTGCTATAGTAAAGCTACTGATGATGGCTACCTTTGGTTTCAAGAAATGTTCATTATCTAAAGTGCTGTATGGTACATTTGTCCTTAATTTTTTACCCCACTGTTGTGTGATTTGTCATCTACGAGTCTCTCATCATGGATACAATCCTTAGCGAAGAATATAAACTTACTTGAATTTCTGGGGGAGAGCATCTACTCCTCAAACAGGGAAATATGTAAGCGTCAATGTCAGTCCACCCAGCTAAAGTTGTGGCAGTAAAACACTTACTCAACAGATTAACAATTTCCCAGAAATTTTAGTGTTTTGCACTATGCAGACCAACCAATACGAGCGTTTTTGATGTTCTGAATTCCAACTGGGTCAGCGCTGCCAAGACTCCTGTATACTCTGGCGATAAAAAAACTGTAATTGTGCCTTTGCAGACATTTAAATCTTTCAGGAGGGATTGCCTAAAAATGACTCGATTACATAAATAACTGAGTAATTGTTCAAGGTATAAAGACAAAGAGAATGTGATCATAATTAGCAACTAGTTGAAATCCGTTCTAAGCGTTTTTCGCAATTGAACACATTTTTATGCAATGCAGATAAGAACTTAGATTTATGTAACACAAATTTTGATAATAACGCTAACCTGAGCCGTGTCGAACCCAAGGATGGCTTCAGAATTTCTGATAAAGACTGTTAGAACGACGACGTACCGGAAATAGAACCGCTAATTTTTTACTGGAGACATTACAACTATCAAAACTTACAGCATTATAGCACAGTGAGTTGTGACTGCGATAATTCCCTCCGATACCGGCAACATTACGAGAATGTAACAAAAGTAGTATTACACTAATCTCTACTACTACTTATCCTTTTAATTTTTGAAAGGGAACAACAGAAATTGCTAAAATATTCCAAAGAAATTAATAATGGCGCTTCTAAATGCAATAATAAAACAAAGAGTCGACGAAATATCATCCTACTGCTAATGATTAATTGTTATTTTTAAACATAAATTTTACAATAAATTAATTGATTCAACAAATTTAAGTAATGAACGAAACCACTTGTCTGCCCTGAAAGCTAAAATGATATGACCATATTAGTATCATCAAAGACCTAGCTTAATGGGATTCCATGTTTTTACTTCTTGCTTTTTCTTCACTTACGCCGTTTCTTATCTGGTGCGCGCAAGCGATGAAAGACCACAG